GAAGAATGGATGAAGAAAGTATGGAATATATACATATTAGAGTACTACTCAGCAGTAAAAAACAATGACTTCTTGAATTTTGCATACAAATGGATGGAACTAGAAAACACTATCCTGAGTGAGGTAAGCCAGACCCAAAAAGAGGAACATGGGATGTACTCACTCATATTTGGTTTCTAGCCATAAATAAAGGACATTGAAGCTATAATTCGTGATCCTAGAGAAGCTAAATAAGAAGGTGAACCCAAAGAAAAACATATAGGCATCTTCCTGAATATTAACCTTCATCAGGCGATGAAAGGAGACAGAGACAGAGACCCACATTGGAGCACCGGACTGAAATCTCAAGGTCCAAATCAGGAGCAGGAGAGAGCACGAGCAAGGAACTCAGGACCGCGAGGGGTGCACCCACACACTGAGACAATGAGGATGTCCTATCGGGAACTCACCAAGGCCAGCTGGCCAGGGTCTGAAAAAGCATGGGATAAAACCGGACTCGCTGAACATAGCAGACAATGAGGGCTACTGAGATCTCAAGAACAATGGCAATGGGTTTTTGATCCTACTGCACGTACTGGCTTTGTGGGAGCCTAGGCAGTTTGGATGCTCACCTTACTAGACCTGGATGGAGGTGAGTGGTTCTTGGACTTCCCACAGGACAGGGAACCCTGATTGTTCTTTGGGCTGACTAGGGAGAGGGACTTGATGGGGGAGGGGGAGGGAAATTGGAGGTGGTGGCGGGGAGGAGGCAGAAATCTTGAAGAAAAAAGAAAGAAAGAAAGAAAGAAAGAAAGAAAGAAAGAAAGAAAGAAAGAAACAAACAAACAAACAAACAAACAAACAAACCACAGTGGCAGAGCATTTAATCACCAGTATCACAGGATGGAAAGACAGACAGACACAGACAGACAGACAGACAGACAGACAGACAGACAGACACACACACACACACACACACACACGACAGGGGACTACAAGACAGAGACTATAAAACAAACAAACAAATGAAAACTTATTTGCTCCTGATTCTCACAGAGGGTAAACAGATTTTTCAGGAAGAAAAGATACATTTTTCTTAATTACTTCAATATAGGATAACAGAGCAGACCCAGAATGAATGAATCAACTAATGAATGAATGAAAAAAAAAGAGGGCTGGGACTATATGTTAGTGCTTATTTAGCAAGTTGCAAGGGCCTTGATTTCATCCTTAGTGCCAAATCAAACTACAACAAAACCTCAGTGATTAGGTGGCTTCTAGAGAATGGTAAAGATATCATACAATATACTCTAATTTATGAAACTCTGTAAAAGCAGAACACACTTGTGTAGAAACTGTCCATCCCATCCCCCGTGTCTGCCCCCCCCACCCCCAGCTGGGGCCCTGAAGGATTCCCGAGTTCTGGAAGAAGCCAACTCAGGGCAGGTGTTACCAGAGAGGGCCTCTGAAGATAAAGACAGGTTTGTTTAGGAAATGGGAGCCCTCTAAAGAGCAGAACTTTCATTGGTGTCTAGGAAATATCCTTAAAGCCCTTTCACTGTTTTCCCCAACTTCCTATTATTCTAGAGACTCTTGACTTCTGTTACTGTGTAAACCACAGTCCCTTTCAGGAGCACTGCTTCAGGGAGAGCAAAAGAAAGGAGAGAATAACACTATAAGCACCTTAAAATCAGCAAGACCAGGAATCAAATCTTAAACTCTACTTTAAGTTGTATGGACATGGGTAATGGAGTAATGGAGACAAAATGCTACAAGTGGACATGGCACTGGGGCTGAGGAGATGGCTTGGCGATAAAAAGAAGATCAAGGTTTGATCTCCAGCATTCACAAAGCAGCTCACAACCAACCATCTGTAACTCCAATTCCAAGGGCTCTGATGCCTTCTTCTGCAGCCATGGGAATCTGGTATGCATGTATTGCACAGACAAACATGCAGGCAAAACATCCATACACATAAAAATAAGTAAATCTTAAAAAAAAAACACAACCCCGTGACCTAGACATGTACCTACCTTAAATACAGAAAGTCCTTGACAAATGCAAATGTGATTTTTATAGTATAAGATTGTGGGGTAGGAGAGTGGGTGAAGGCCATGGAGAAAACTGCCTGAAGTACTTCTCTTGCCTTTTCACTGAGACCAAATAGATGTCTGCATTCTAATTCCCTAGAGAGGAGTGGATGCCATCAACCCATCTAAAATGAAAGTGCATTAGACAGATCAGAGCAAAGTTAGGATTTATACTGTGAGCTATTTTTAAAACTGCCAGCTTAGCAAATTAAACGGCTGCGAAGATCTCCTGGTTTCCATTCACAACAAACACAAGGCAAGGCACTCTCCTCTAATGAGTCTGGCCTCCTGGAGCACAGTCTAGTCTGCATAATTCATTCCTAAGGGTTTAGGAAACATCATTTTCTCAAGATACACCAAAATATTTTCTAGGAAATAAAAAAGAGGGAGAAAGACGAAAAAGAGGAGTTTTTCTTTAGAGATTTTTGGTAAATCCTATGAATCACCCTCCCATTCAATTTAGGAAACTACTGTCTAAATAAAACTTGGAGTTAGGTCAGTGCTTCAAGCCTGTCTTAAGAGTTTTTCCTTTAAAAGGGCATATGAAAAGAACTGGTCTACTTTGAAACACAATTTTCTAAATCCTACAACAGATGAGGGAAAATAAAATCTATTCATCCCCACTAAAAAGCCACACCAAAGGTGCCAAATGGAAGTTTAAAACCAGCCACCTTTTCAGAAGTTTGAGGAGATAAATCTTGAACTACTGAGAATGTTGGCTAAGTTATGGTATTTACAGCCCCTGTTCCATTAGATAAAAACGTTGTTATAATGTTAAATAATGAAAGATGTTTCAATTACCACTGGAATTGAATTTCAGGAAGTACTATGCACACACTTGGTGTGCAGGCAGCCCATTAATTGAGCCTCCTTCATGAAGACACTGCTAAGGAAAGGAAGCACCATTTCATACTTTCTTTGGAAAACACCCAAATTTAATTAGTTCAATTTGGAACATCCTGAGCCTTAAAGCTTTTACTCAAGCATAGCATAAATTTTGATTAGCCAAGTATGGAAAAACAGCAAAGCCAACTTTCTTGTCCCTCTAGTTGGTCTATAAATAGAAGCAATGTACCAACAAAGCGACCGGTATGCTCTACTGTATCTCCGACATATACATAGCCCAGCAATCTTGCTCTAGGCACACTGAACCAAGGGCTTCTGAGGATCTGTGATAGGACCCTTTCAATAAACTGTGACTCACTGTTTGTTTTCTTCTCCAGGAGGTGGAGTCTTGCCATGCCCTTCCATTACAAAATCCTCCTGTTCCACCTGCAAAGGCAAGCACCAAGAGTCAGCAGTAGTCAGTACTATGATGAGACTTACAGGCCCTGCTCTGTGTACACCCACAAGGCCAAGTCACTACGGTGTCTAGAACAGAAGCATAGAGTATTAGCAGAGACGAGAAGCATGGCAACTCTCCATTCATAGTGGGGGGGGCGAAACTGGTACAACGACTTTAAGAAAGTTTGCCCTTACTTGGTACATTTGAATACACACTCATCATACAAACTTCAAATACATATTTCTAGGTGTATGCTCTAAAGGATCTTTTATACATATACAAAAGTATCTATCTGATATTATAGTCTCTGTCCCCCCCTTCAGTCTCAGTCTCTCTCTCCCTTACACAGGGTTTCCTCTACTAGACCAGGCTAGCCTTGAACTCACAAAGGATCACGTGCTGGGATTAAGGGCTTGCCTAGCAGGCAGTAACATTTTTAACAGAAGAAAATGCAGAAATACATATCCACTGACAATAAAATAGGTTATGACATTTTTAGCGACATACTCAACCAAGCTAAGTTACAAATATCTAATCTTTGTTGAGAGAAGCAAATCATAAAAGAGAACCTTCATCCCTTGGTATCTGCAGAAGACTGGCTCCAAAATTATCAAGGAAACCAAAATTCAAGGAGGCTCAGTACAAAATGGTACAGAATTTGCATACAACCTATTCTAAAATTATATATGTATGTATGTATATACGTATATACATAAATACACACGTACACACACCACCTGGCCCAGAAAGTTTTTTTTTTAATTTTAAAATTTTATTATTCATTTGTTTGTATATCTATGTACATACAGACACATATGGGAAGGTCAGAGGACAACTTGTGAGAGTTGGTTATCTCCTTCTACCATGTGGATCCTGGGGATTGGACTTGGTGGTCAGGCTTGGCAGCAAGAAATTTTACACACCGAGTCTTCTCACCAGATCAAGATATTTTTGTTTAGAATAGATTTTTCATGTAGTCCTGGTTGGAACTGAAGATACTGTGAACCTGAGAGTGACCTTGACCTTCTAACTCTGCCTCTAATCTCAATTGAAGGGAAATACGGCTGCCCAATGTGAGGATAACTGAAACCACAAAGCCTGAGAAAGCTTGGGAAAGAGTAAAGCATGCATGTTTTCTTGGTAGCAACAATTTTTCGGGTCTACTCTGCTTGCTAGAGGTAAGCAAGCGCTCTCATCTAAGAGAGGCTTCCTGACTCAGCTTTAGCTGCAAAACCCTGCAGCTCATTAAGAGGTCCTGCCACGAAACACTTAAATGGTGTTGACGAATAGCTGAACGCATGCTTTTCGGTTTTCAGCCGGAGCAGGAAAAAAGCTGTGCTGTTTAAAAATGCCGGCTTTCTGGGCCGTCCTGCCAGGGCAAACTCTGACTGAGGCAGGAGGGCCAACT